GGCCCCTTCCAACCAGGGTTATTCCGTGTTGCGTTGCTCTGTCTTATCAAGATCAGATGTCAGACTTACTTGGAGATAGAGCTGTTCTTTGGAAATAAGCAAAACCGTGCCTCTAAAACGTGCTCGTACACCTAACAGCACTGCTGGAAAACCTGTTCCTTTATTTTGGGAAGGAGTTTGCTGTTTAAAAGAACATTCTGTACCTGATTCTGGTTTTCAAGGTTTTAGAAATCTTGTTTTGCAGTTGAGCATTTTGACAGCTTTCTTTTCAAGTTACGTTCAGTCTTTAATGGTTGCTGTAATTTCACTTTTAAACAGCAGCGTTCTTCAAAGCCAGCAGTGAAACAGCATCAGCTGAGGTCTGTCTGGGGATCACGAGGGGTTCCCAGTGATCTCGGTTTCTTCAGCTGTCATTTGTCAGAACACACTCATGTAATCTTAATGAACAATGTGCAAAGCCATTAAAAACCCAATTACGGCTTTGGTTTTACTGCAGACGTGAGAAAATGCAATCATAAAGTGCTGATGTGTAAACACAATAGCCACCATCTGCTCCCGAGTAGCATTTCAGCTCCAGAAAGAGGATATATGTTGCAGATGCATCAATAATAGGACGCTTATCAAGGCATCATTATGCACCAAGCAGGGGAAAAATTGAAATTTATGGCCAGCTAGAGAGCACTTCATGGTTTAATTCCCCAGTTTTCAGTGGTATGTTTAATAACCATGAGAGAGTGCCGCTTTATGTTCCTGTCGTTTGAATGGATTTTTAAAAATGAATTTATTTACCGTCTTCCCATCCTCCTTGCTTCTGACTGATCTGAACATAACACATTTATTTTTGATTATTCAGGAAGCTGGTAAAACCAGCAAGATATTAATTAATCTAACCTGTTGATCCAAGAGCACTAAATTTAGTTGACTTGATATTCAATCTGCTTTAATGAGCATATACTTCTGTGGCCAATAAATATAAAAAAGAACTTTTTAGCAGCATGAGTGATTTTTTTCCCCCGAACTTTTTTTTTCCAGTTCAGTGTTGACCTCATGCCACTTCTCTGGATGGAGGTAAACAAAACAATGAGGCTAAATGATTTATTTTTTTTCCTACTATTATCATTTTTCAAAGTTGGATATGCAGTGGTCTAAATAAGAGTTTTTCTCCAAGATACCTTTTGTTTTATTCAGATTCTTGCCTGGAGATATTGAAGTGGCTTTTAGTCATTCATTGATCAATAATTTCCATTTGTGACATGTTAATTCATTCCCTAGTTCTTTATATGAATGGAAAATGTGATAAGTGGTTTGTTGGTGCCTGACCAGATTGTATCTCTTTTATTTGCGTCTACAGGCCTATAAATTGAGAATAAGTCCCATCAGCTTCGATTGTGTGTTCAGTCTAAAGAAGATTGTCAGACTCTGAATCACAATATGTCAATTTTTATTAAGGAGAGTAAGGAAAAACACACTTGTCCTTAAAAAGCTGTTTCAAATTTTTGTGCTTTTTGTTGGGAGCAATTCTCATGATCTTTCACGTACCTCTCCAGACATATCCTCTCCAGACAAGCTTTATTGGGCAGGGGCATTTATAAGACGACAGTGGGTCTCAGCTATTGATCTTGGAAAGATGCAGAGCAACCTTTTGAAAGTCTGAGAGGACAGGGGACAGGACACCTGTTCAAGTTCACACAGTGAAAAGAAAAATGAAAATGTGTACGGATGGGTATATTTGGAGGTCAGCTTACAGAATCCAGGGTATAATTTATTCACAACAATTTTGTATATTGGTGTATTCTTGTATCTGATGTCAGTCTTGACGGAACTGTAAGTTTGCACCCTCTACAATGGCCAGGCTTGAGGTTTTGCTCCCTGTGCTTTGACTGCCCAGGGGAAGGGTTTGTGCTGGAAGGTGCCCCACTAAGTCTGTGGAAATAAGGAATGTGGTATAGTCAGTAGGTGATAAACTGGTTTAAACAAGGGGTGAGTACTTTCCTCTGACAGAGATGGCACTAGGAGGGGAATGTTTTCATCTTTTCCACTGTCATGTAAAATAATATCTCTTATCAGCGCATTCCTGGAGACACATTTTTGTAGTATTTTCTCCTGTATCCCTGGGCATACTGTATTTAAAAAATTCATAAGCTATAAATAAGAAGCTATGAATAATTTGCATATGACGATTGTTTATAAGGCTATTCTTTTTGTAACTAAGACATCATTTTGTTAGGTGCTTTTTGGTGGATGGATATTTTACTTGTGTTGTCAGTCACTAGCTTCAGGCTCCATACTCTCTCTAGAATTGTCAGCAGTTGCACAAAGGGCCATTGTCGTACCATGAATAGCTTGTGATTCATTTTTTTGTGGGTGGCAAAAAAAAATAAAATTGTAATTATTGCTTTGAACTTTTTCTAAAAGCTGATGTTTTTTCTCCCAAAGGAAAACTTGTTATTTTTGTACATGAATCTGTAAAAGTGAAATACTCCCTAACTTTTTCTATTCTTGAAACTCTTACCTACCCCAGTGCAGTTCAGGACTGTATTGTGATAGACACCGTACAGCTTCAGAGGAGTTCTTAAGGGTAGGAATCCAGGTATTACCCAAATAATAAGCAGAACACAGTGTAACAACATAAAAGTTGACAAAGATTCCTAGAAGTGCAATGATGTACCCTATGATCCAGTCAACGATGGTGCAAAAACCACTTTTCCTGGGTTCCTCCCCGGTGTTACAGACGCTTTGTCAAAACCCTTTTAGATGCGCAGGAGCTCTGCGCTTCTGTACTGAGTGTTTTAATTGACTCTACTGTCATCCTCAACTGTGAGATCTGGCAAATATAGAATTTGTTGTCATTGTTTCTTGTACTGTTTCTCACAGTGGCATTGAAATGCTGCCGGCAGTGCCTTCCCAGCAGCTACTACACTCCTCTGGACTATACCACCATCACACAGCGATTGTACAGTGGCTTTCCTCCTAGGTGCTCAGTAGAAGAGTGTTTCTTATGACGATTCTTGCTTTCTTTGTAAGGGAAGATAAAGCAGACTGCGTGTCCTGACGGAGATCATGGAAGCCAGTGTCATAATTAGCCTTGGAAAGCCGGCTGTTGGGTTTCCAGCCTGCTGCCTCGACTATCAGGCTGTGCTGCCTCTTAGCTTGTTGGCAGTTGTGCTTTCTCATAATCAAGTATCTTAGGGCATAGAAGCAGAACCAAATCTCAGTTTCTCAAAATCTTAGGTCATTCGGGTGGATGTTTAAGAATAGTATGTATACAGTACTCACTGAAGAAGATAATTTAGTGGTTGACTGGGAGCAGAACTAGATCAACAGTGAACATTTGTCAGGATCTCATCTTATGATCTTTGATTGTTAGAGAGAAATTGAAAAGTTTGGGTTTGGCTCTTATGTTTCTCAAAGTCCTTGCTGTGAATCTGGAATTTCTTGCTTTGGGGCCATGTTGATTTTCAGCATATCAAAATGAAAGATAGACTTGCCAGAGAGCATCTTGCCTATAAATTTTCATATTTCCTAGTAGAGGCTCTTCCCCAGCTGTGCTTGTATTGTGCTTGATTTTTCCAAGGTCTCTAGAGTGTGTGATTTTTTTTTTTTTTTAATGAAATAGACTTCCTTCTGCGTCCGTGCTTTTCAATCCTTTACAAAATGCACATATATCATATAAACACAGGAAAAAAAGCACATTTTCATGGGAGAAAGTTGCTGGTATCTGTTGATATAAATTTAGAATATATGGCTCTTCACTGCACAGAATTGATAAAAATGTTTATCTGGCTCATCTGAGTGTCACACTGCTATAGCACAAAATAGGGAAAGTCGATAGGTTAGAAGTGAGGCAAGGGTTTTCAAACTCAATTTTCTGTGAGCTGCAAGGGGCCAGCAGAGAAATACATTTGTAGCATGCCTTGGCAGCGGCGGCAGAGCTGAGAGTGTCAAGAGGACTGCATTTGATTAAAAATTATCATGCCTGGCTGCTGGCACACTGATTCTGCCCCCCACCTTCCCCCCTCTTAGTATTTTCTTCAGCTTTTTTCTGAGTGTGTCTGCACACCCATAAAGGAGATCCTTTAAACAGAATTGAGTCAAATAACTGTTGTAATGTTTTCCCTTATTGCTAGCATTTGTCACCTTGATGCATCTGTGGAGAGATGAGTTGAGACACAATGTGCTGTAAAATAACTGCTTGATGAATCAAAATGTGAGTTCAACATCAAGTGCCATCCTTAATATCATGCAAGCTTCCAGGTTAATAAACTCATAAATTGCCTTAGTATATTTTTCCCTCCCTGAATTCATCCTGTCCTTCCCTCCTAGAAATATAATTGTCCTTGTTGTGTTGTTTCTAGTTGAGATGTTGGTGTTATGCTAACAAGCCTCATTCATCTGGGCTCTGAAAATTGTTTGTTTTTTTTTTTTTTCTTAACACATTTCAACCTTCAAAAGTTTATAGTACCAAGATGCAGGGTTCACAGGCATGAAGTAGGTAGGGGCCACGTAGGCAAACGTTAGCTGAGAATTTGGCCCATTGGTGTAGTTTTTGTGTTGAATGCGCCTTTGGAGGGCTGTGCGTGGTGAGAGCCACGTCGCTGCTGGAAGTGTGAATGTGCTCTCGTTTAGAGTGACTGTTTTATCACAAGGTTACAAAATAATAAAAGCAAAATAGTATTTTCATTCTGATTTTTAAGTTATCTAATTAAAGTGGTTCTAGTTGGCCCTGTGTGTCCTCTACAGTTTTAATATCCTTTCTTCCTGTTACCTAACAACTGGCATAACATAACTTGAGTTCTTCATATGAATATTTAGTTTTCTGGCTTCTGAGGGAATCACAGACTTTTCTAATGGAGCTTTTTACTGAAAAAGCCAAACAAACCCACACTTTCTTCTCTTTTTGCTTTCCCCTGTAGGCTCCTTCATGATGGTGAACAGCTCTGGGCGGGCGTCAGGGCAGAAAGCTCACTTGCTGCTGCCCACGCTGAAGGAAAACGACACACACTGCATCGACTTCCACTATTACTTATCCAGCAGGGACCGTTCCAGCCCCGGATCTCTGAATGTCTACGTGAAGGTGAACGGAGGACCACAAGGCAATCCCATATGGAATGTCTCGGGGGTTGTTACAGAAGGATGGGTGAAAGCAGAACTTGCCATCAGTACGTTCTGGCCACATTTTTATCAGGTAGGAGTTTGTCATATTTTTCTCTCTTTTTCCTTTGAATGTTTGGTTAGGTATGAGCTAAGCTATTGTTAGCAATAGGTATTCTGAAAATCAAATCTCCCCCAACTTCTTTCTATCAGAATGAATTTACATATAGCAGTTTTATAGCAAAAGGATTATATAGGTATCTTAACATATTTCTTCCCACTTCACCCTATTTATTCTGGCCAAGTCACAGAGTGATGGATAGACTCCTGGGATTCAAATTATTGTCAAGTTAAGACCCCCTTGTTTATCATGAACTTAGCGCACAAACAGCATAGTATTGGCATTTTCCATAGCACCAGGTAAATGTAAATACAGCTGAGTGTCTAGGTGTGTAACTGCATCTCTACATAAATTTGCTTGAACTATTTTTGGCCCTTGATTGGTTCCATAAGAAGGAACACTTGTTCACTCAGCATTGCATCTGGACTTTTCCTGTGTCCGTATGAGTGGTGTAAGTACATAAGCTGCTAATAAAATCTTGTACCGTGTTATCAACAGGTAACACCATTCCTCTTTGTTTCAGCACTGCTTGTAATGTAATTTGACTTGTTCTCTTGGGAGATTTTTTTTTAAACAAGCACAAAGTTGAGGAATGTAATGGTTAAGTTCTTTTTTGGTTATATAAATTTTATAGCTACTTGTTAGTTGTCCACTTCAAACTTCATGTAGCAACTTTGCAGTCATTAATTTAGGTTTAATTAGATAAGATTGCACACAATGGACTCACATACCTCTTGGTAAGTGTTGGAAGCATGGTTTTGTCTTATTTTATACTTAAGACCAAAAAAAAAAAAAAAGCCTGGGAGGGAATTTCACCCTGAACTTTGTAGGAAAAGCTGATGTACACATGACACTTAAAAGACATGAGTGAGGTAGGAATTATGATAGAAAAAAACTATGAAAAGGCAGCAAATAGTCTGTGGAGAAGAAACAGCAAGTAGAAAATCTTTTTTTTTTTTTCTTTTAATAACTGGGTAGGAGGTCTGTAAAATCTGAGCTGAAGTGGAATGCTTTAATGTTCTGCCTCTGAAAAAGAGTTGGATATCAGCAGAATACATAAAACATGCTATGCAGGGTAAGAGAAAAGGGATAGATGCAAATGCGTGGAAAGTGGTGTTTTAAGGGCTGTGCACAACTTGTCACTAGTTCTGAGGTCATGTTGAAGTGCTTATGCTCCATTCATATTAACACGAACCTGGTCATGAACTGGAATTTGCTTCATAGTAGGTGCTCTACAGAGATAACAGAAATGATCTTTCACCCAGATAATCAGTGCTTGAAAAACCTGGAAAAGACAGTCAGATCTCACACTGAGAGCGCCTACTCTTAGATATACCAATAGTAGACTTCCTGAGCCTTACTTACTTCTTTTGCGAGCCCTTTTGGAGGTCAAGTTTGCCTTTCCTGAGCAAAAAATCCTTTAAATCAAACAAGAATTTTTCACTGCAGTGCAAAAATGAGCAGCTTGGAAGCCAGCAGTAAGTCTCTAGGAGTAGTTCCTTCTTAGAAAATGCAAGGATTTAATTTTTTAATTTTTTTTGATGAATGGGTGTGATGCTTCTGCTTGTTTATATTTGTGTTCTTATTCCCTAAGTGTGGCTTTTAAAATTTGAGATCTGTCCCTCTATTATGAAGGATCTAATAGACTGATCTGTTATCAGTCCCTGATTTTATAAACAGTCTTCCATTGATGAGTCTACAATCTTCTACATTTAATCAACGTTTGTTTTTTGTTTTGATTTTGTTTTTTTTTTTTAAAGACAGCCTTAAGTTTGCAAAAGTGAAGAGGAAAACACAATGAAGGACTTAGACAAAATTATTGTTATTTGGCAGCTTAAAGTAACGCTTCTGGCTAAAGGAGTTGAGAGGTGGCAGGATGTCAAAGCTTGGATGTAGCGTTGCACAGGGAGTGTCTCATTTCACACTCGCAATCTAGGATGTGCCATTGGAGTGTTGTCAGCTTTAAATCAAAATTACAGACCTGGAGAGCTCTTTGTACACAAGAGACCTGAAAGCATGTTCTGTATTTCGAAAGCACCAGGTAACACAGGGGGGAAAAAAAAAAAAGGGCATTTTTCTGAAATAATGAAATCTGTGTCGGAAATTCAGTCAGGCAAAACAGCTGGAGCTTTCTGCCCTGTCTGAGGCTTCAACTTGAACTCTGGAGATGTGACTAGTGGAAAACTAGTAACCAAGCCGATTGCCAGAGGTCTTGTTTTCAGTCTGGCAGTTCCACACAAGGGTCATATGAGCCATCTGGATGCAAAGCACCCTGCTGAGATAGAAACGTGGGGTCGGTGGACATTGATCATTTCTACCCTAGAGTTACTCCTACTTGGGTTCCCAGCCTGCAAATGTTTTTAGTGCAGTGAGAGAAAGCCGTAATAGTTCTGGGAGAAAGGTGATACGTGTAATCTTGAATTACTGCTCGCCATGAGGATGAACTTAGTCCCAGAATGCACCGAGGGCAGCACTCGAGTCTGCCAGGAGGAGTTTTTTTGATGGATAGCAAGGAACGTTATTGATCCGCGCCTGAAGACAACTGTTGTACCACAGCAGCTGAGCCAGGCGACGCTGCTAACACAGACGTTGTTGGTACATAGCAGCAGTGAGGTGTAGGCTTGTTTATTGGAAAGGAAACATGAAATGACTTCAGTATTTGCAGTTCTCAGGAGCATTTAGGAATGTTTTTTAAGAGTAAAGCTTTGCACTTTGTCATGTGTATTAATTACTGAGATGTTCCTTAACTGGAAATCAGTGTTAAATCCCTATGTCTCAACCACTGTACTACATTTCTGACTGAAGTTAAAAGGACATGAGCAATATTCAGTGTGAAATTTGCAGAACTGGGTCCCCTAAGCAGGGATTCCTGCCTTTTCCTCATGTCGGGGCTCAATTCCCTGTTTTCAGGAAAACCCGGTTGCTTCTGTGCTTCTTGCTTTGATAGGGCTGAGATGCTGCACTGAAAAAGACAGCAATGTGGAAGTTTGGAGTGGGAAATAACAAGAAAACCCCAGTATAAAGTAGAACAGATAATAGTTTGTCAAAACAATATTGTGTGAATTGGGAGGAATCCTCCACTCTTTGCGGTGAATGTTGCACCAGCGTGCATGGGGTTTTTAGGAGCTGACTCAGCTGGCAGCTTAAGTTAGGTTGTGCTGCGTTAAAGACTCTGTATGTGTCGGTAATTAACAGAAGATAGTTCTCTATGTATCGGTGCTTATTTCTGCCACTCAGAAATAGCTAAAGCCAGTGCCTTGGAGAGCTTTTCTTTCCAAGTTCTTGACTTGCAAGCAATTGAGAATTAGTTCATTGTGGCTTATAGCTTCTCGGAAATGCAAAACTAAAATAAGATCTTGTAGTTGTAATGTTACACTTGAATTCAAGTCTGAAGGGGGTGGCAGTAGTTCCTTACATGACCTTCCCAGTAAGTCTAGTTTTTATAATAAATTTCATTTCTTAAATTGTAATTTCCATACTAAGGACTTGCATTATACTCTTTATTTTATTCACTCCCTAAAAAGCCTATCAAGGACCTTGATAACACAAAACACTTGTTGATGTGGTTTGGATTATTTTATCTTCCAGAGACTCGCTTCCTCCTCCTGCTCCTTGGACAGCCTGTCTTTTGTCTGCCCTCCTCTGGAGCAGATCTGTGTTTCTACACATTGTTAGCACTTGAGGTTTTTTTTAGTTTATATAGTTGCCTGTTAACTTTTATCTTCTGCTTGTTTTTATCATGTCTTTTTGTAATGGACTTATTTCAGAAGATCTCATATTTGGATGTGTTTTGAATTGAGGGAGCAGATTTTAGGAAGTCACGGAAACGGAGCAGATATGTGTTTCTACACATTGTTAGCACTTGAGCTTTTTTTAGTTTATATAGTTGCCTGTTAACTTTTATCTTCTGCTTGTTTTTATCATGTCTTTTTGTAATGGACTTATTTCAGAAGATCTCATATTTGGATGTGTTTTGAATTGAGGGAGCAGATTTTAGGAAGTCACGGAAACACGAGTAGAAACTATGTTCTGGAAGGTGAAATGCAAAGCAAAATGAATACCAGCAGGATACCAATATGAAGGATGTATTGGTTTACTTTGATAGCCAGGACGTGCAGTGATCAGCACTTGGACGGTTGAATCTTTTACTGTACTAGATCTTGTGATGAAGGAGAGGCTGAACAGGGACAGACTGGGAATACCAGCTTTTATTTAGAATGAAAATGTGTTAAAAACTGGCTTTAAGTAGTTAACTGTGCTCTAGTAATGAGTTTTAGAGATTACAAATTACTGAAATACTTTCTCCTATGCGACTAGCTGCACTAGAATACTGCTCTAATAGTAATAACCGTGCCAGCTGAACGTGCTAATTAACTCTGTCCTTGAAAACATTACTGTATACTCATGCAAAAATGGACAATTGAGTACAGTGTGAACATTAGTAAGAGGGAATGAAACTGGGGACATCCCTTTCAAATGCAGAGGACAGCACCCATTACATCTCTACCCATTCATTATTTTTTTTTAAATGATAAAAGATAGCACCTCATTCCTTTGGGAAGAGAATGACTGCAATGAGGGCACAGGCACAACTCCTGTCCTACTGTCCTTTAATTGTTGGGCAAGCTACGCCTTATTTAATACTGTTTTCTCCTGAATTTTTAGTTAGCTTATCTGGCAGCAGTTAACTTCATTTTAATGATCTATTTGTCAGTTTATTAGAATTTTTTTTAATTTTTTTTCCTCCCCCCTCCACAGCTGATTTTCAGATAGCCTGTATTTTTTTTTAGTAACAGGGTGCTTCAGATCACGGCAGTTTTTCAGGTAAAATCACAAAGCCCCAGGAAAGAATGAGATTTTTGTTCATTGGTAATTGAATATCTATTCAGAGCCAAGTCAGTGGAACGCTTTCATTATCCACATACATAAATAAAATAGAAAGCGCTAGTTAGTGTACCATTAACGCAGAGAAATACTGCATGTGGTTATTAAGAATATTCCTTCTCAGACCATGTCAGTTCAGTTCAGGGAAAGGCAGTAACAACTTTATTATATCCAGGAGAATCTTATTTCAGTCCAGTGACCAGAATCCAGGGTCATCCGTTGCTCATAATTTGCTTTCTAATGCTGCAGTGGCATGCACGCGAAATCAGGGTTTTCTCCAGAAGAATCCATGCAGGGTTTTTGATTCACCGAGATAATTTTATTGCATGTGCAGCATTCTCCAACTCTGAGGCATACTAGGAACAAGATGTCAAATTGTTACCCACCTAGTGTTCTCAGACTGGGGTTTGAAGTGAATATAGGTGTGCATGTGAAAGAATCACGTAGTTGTCTCTAGTCCTAATGAATGTTGCTTCGACATTTTGTTTTCCATATCAAACAGATTTTCAATCTTTAATATGCACATACATGCTGAATCACCTTGGTATCCCTTCATTATTAAGGGTGAAATGCTTTGACTGACTCCGACATTGGATGAAGAACAAAATATGGTGACTGGCCAAATGAGTAGCGTAGCTATTCTTTTTAAGAAAACTTTTTTAAAATTTTGTATTGCAGGTGATATTTGAATCTGTCTCTTTGAAAGGACACCCAGGGTACATAGCTGTGGATGAAGTCAGAGTTCTCGCCCATCCATGCAGTAAGTACTTTTTGTTTTTCTCACTGTATCAATGCGTTGTATACCAGGCTCTACAGTCTAAAGGAGTGATTTACCCCATTTGGTCGGCACTAAACTGTCGTCTTGTGTACCTTGGAGACACCTAAAGACGATCAGCCTTACATAATTGCATAACTTTGCAAGTTGTGCAAAAGGCAAAGCTGCTCTCAGCCTCTAGCTAGCCCCAGGACATCTGTGGAAGTCCCTCTTCCTTTTATGTTATGAGAACACAAAACTGATTGTTTTATTATTTCTGAATCATATTGCTGTAGAAAACAATCTAAAAAGCTTCTGAGAATATCCTGTATGGTTAACTTAAGAAGAAGCAAACACTTTTTTTTCAGTATTTCCTCAGTAAAGGACATGTCCCGGAGGTGTGTGTCTCTCAACAAACATTAAACCCCTGTAAAGATATTAAAAATAAATCTAGTTCAGACAATACACTTGCACAGCAGTAGAAACTAATGCAAGTTCATTACGCTGTTCAGAAATATTAGTTCTGCATTTCTTCTGTTGCAGCCATAATAATAAGCTTAGATTTTTTTTTTCCTATTTGAAGAAACCTTGAGCCTCAGTCTTTGAGTCTGAAGTTGTTTGGTTTCTCTGTGCATCCACAGTGTGGTTTGAGGACTTTCTGCAGTATACAGTTTCTTCTAAAGGTTATTTTTTCAATAGGCTTTAACAGCCCCTCTCCCCAGTTCAGTTTTACTAAGTCAGTGACAGCTGCTCACAAAAAAATCATTGATCTTGTTGACAGAGTGATATCAAGTGGTTTTCTTGCAATACAGAGTTTCAAAGAATCGCTGCCATTCAGTGTGACAGACGTGGTCCTGTTCAAGTTTAACAGGACATTTCTGATAACCGCAGTGTGGTTAACTGCTGTTTAAATCCTGTTTGTATTTACCACGTACTCGTTGCTCAGGCCTTTGGGTGCATTTACTTCATTAAGAAATACTTACAGTCTGCATTAACCAGATGTTGCTGATAACTGGCAGCATCCAAACAAATCTCCCAAATGGTCTGTGTGCGTTACGCAGTGTGTTGAGTGATGACTGATCCCTTTCCTGGGAAAGAGGCTGCTGAACAAAGTGTGGGACAAAGCCTGGGCAAGAAAGTTCTGGGGTTTAGAAAGAAGAGACGGGATGCTGTGTTATACTCCTGCTTAATCAAATATTTAAACTGATTTAAATCCATTTCTCCTAGTATATGCAGGTCCCTCTTCAAAATTAAAGTCTTTCTTGGTGACTCAAAGCTGAAACATTTCAAACAATTAAACTCTCTTCCATTTTGAATCAATTTGCAGCCTGCAGCACACAGAACTCATTCAAGCTGCAAGTTCTCTGCAGTCTTTGTAAAGGTTTCTCCTGTCCGATTCCCAGGGCTGCTTTTGGTTTTCAGCAGTGACAGCCACCAGGGTAAATGTCACGCCTGTGTTCCGTCGACTTGTACAGGCTTTGCCCCTCGTGTTCATTTTGCAATTGTTATAACTCAAAGCACAGGGACCATGAAGCTCCTGACGACCCTGGAGTTACTGAAATTATTGGTGTCATTTCTTCATTTCTGCTTTACCTTCATAGATGACAGTGTAGCAGACAGATCTAAGTATCAGCAATAATGTGGTGAAATGCCCCTAATGGCACAGTAACGGAGAAAAAAAATACCTTCATAGTGTTGCCTTTTTTTTTCCCCTGTGAAGGAATGTGCTGAATTACCAATTTTAGCTGTGCTAAAAGCTCGTTGGCTGTGTGTGCAATCACAGGACAGCCCTGTGCTCCCAGAGCTGGGCAGCCCTGGGGTCTGGGTCTTTGGGGTGGGCAGGGACCCCAATGGGCAGGGACACCTCCCACTAGCCCAGGTTGCTCAAAGCCTCATTCAGCCTGGCCTTGAACCCCTCCAGGGATGGGCCTCCAGAGCTGGGTGCAGCACTGCAGGGGGGGGTCTCATGAGAGCAGAGCAGAGGGGGAGAATCCCCTCCCTCGCCCATCACGCTGCTGGTGATGCCCCCAGGACACAGTTGGTTTTTGCTTCCAGCACACCTTGCTGGGTCGTGTTGACCTTCTCATCTACCAGCACCCCCAAGTCCTTCTCTTCAGGGCTGCTCTCAATGACACATTGTTATTCTGGAAGTCTAGGATGTATTTGATAGTCAAGAAAATAAAAAGGAAAAAAGACCCTTGTGAAAATTCGGTTTGGGTCAGTCATGCTTGACAAGCTCAGAAGCATTTGATATTTTCTTTTTTGACCTTTTTAGAAACACAGTATTCTGAAGAAAAGAAACTACTCAATTACTCTTTATAGCAAGCAGTAAGACATTGTGCTGATGACCATGAACTTGGGTTGTGATTTGATCTGTGTTCTCAGATATGCCAGAGCTTGTACGATCCCTTAGGCCATCTGCTGTTGGATCGATCGTCCACCTCTCTCTACAGTGAATAGTTAAATGCTGAAGGACAGCTTTATTTTGCAAAATCATTTTGTCAAGGATAGGCCGTAATGCTTTGCTGGGTGTTTAGATCTGTGTTGGTGTAACAGTCGGTTACTGCCTTGCTCTACCCTTGCGATACTTTGCATCTTTTGTCAGGAAAAGCACCTCATTTCCTACGGCTGCAGAACGTGGAGGTTAATGTGGGACAGAACGCGACATTCCAGTGCATTGCTGGGGGAAAGTGGTCACAGCATGACAAACTTTGGCTCCAGGTATAGTAGTGTCCTTTTTTTTTTTTTTTTCCTCAAGATAGATAGATAAAGACTGGGTGGTGGGGCAAAATATTTCCATGAAGATCCTTTGAGAGCGGCCTTAAATTCTTTCTAGGTGAGAGTTTAAGGTGACAAAGCACAGAATCATGGTACAGAAAATGGAAAACATGGTCAGTGACAGCTAAGTTTTGGTTTCAAACAAATGCCCATGCACCTGTAAGCACTCAGTCATAGAGCACAAAGGACAGAACACGTGGAATAGTTCTTAACTTGTGCTTAATTATTCAACCTTCTTTCCTCTCACACTCCAAAAATGTCCTCGCCCCAGAGTCACTGATAGTATGTTGAGAAGGAAACCTACTCTAAGGTCTGGGATTACTACCTGGACTGTGAAAACAGGCAAAACCAGTTTGTACCCACTGTTTTTCTTCTTCCCGGTTTCCCTTGGCTGCACTGATAGCAGATTGTTCCTTTTAGTCGCTCACTAAAAGACCAAAACCTTCCCTCTCTTCATGTCTATATGTTTATCCGAGTGGCTGGTCTTGAGAGACTGGGTTGTGCTGTTCGGGTGGGTATCGTGACAACCTTAAGAACTCATTTCAGTTCTAGGGTTGGAAATGGAGCATATGTCAAACTGAAGATGTGGAGTGCATGTTTCCCAGCGAGGGACAAAATTATTTCTTCTGCCCTTCGGAGTGCTCGGATACATGGAGTCCCAGCATACATAGAACTTTTAAAATAGTTGAGCTCTTTGCTGCTTCTAAACTTCTGATGTCCCAAACAAGTCCAGAGAATTCTCTTGCTGTATATACCGTACACGTACATGGGGCCAACATAAACTTTCAGAACGCGTAAGGCAGTCAATGATTTTTACTCTCAGTTTGGGCTGATGTGACTGAGTTCCTGACCACCCCATATTTGTAGCATCTGAGGCTATGACAGTTGCCTTTGTCATGGTTGGTATGGCATTTGCAGTCAAACAACTAGCAGATTTTCTCAAACTTTTTTATTGATTTCAGACATTTTAATAAACTTTAAAAATAACAATTTTAAATACAGTTTAAATACCAGGGGAGGAATCGGTTTACCTGGTCAAAAAAATGAAAATTAGTACTGGGGAAAGTCTTGAGTTGGTGAGAAATGTGGTTGGCATCATGTAAAAATGACTTAAGTCACTTCAATTGTTCTCTCATCACCGTTGTCCTAAAAATTACATTTTTATCTGAGATTTTTTAACCTATGGTGTACTTTTGGCATCCACCGAGATGTATATTTGGTTTATTCTTTATCTTTGAGTTATTTCTGTGAAATCTTTCTGCAGTTATGACTAGACGTGTGTCAAAGCACTTGTGACCTGAAGCAGTTTAAACCTTTTCCTGTGAGAAGCAGGGGTTTGGGAAGAAATTGTTGTTGTTACTACTGGGAAATCTGTTTTGGAAATGGACATATTTAATGAAAATAGCCTTAGGTGCATAATCTGTGTGTCTTCATAATTTATATTATGTTTGTCTGCCTTCACAGCAGTGGAACGGAAGGGACACAGCGTTAATGGTCACGCGAGTGGTCAACCACAGGCGCTTTTCTGCTACTGTCAGTGTGGCTGACACCTCTCAACGCAGCATCAGCAAGTACCGGTGTGTCATTCGTTCGGATGGTGGATCTGGAGTTTCGAATTATGCAGAGTTAATCGTGAAAGGTAGGTTGCACTAAAGCAGCACATTTATGCAAGATGAGTATTTATGTATAAAAATTTACATTCTGTTGGACCTTCTCCTTTCATTCCTTTTAAGTAGGAAAAAAGGGTAAAAGCAACGTGAATTTCAGTCATTTTCTTAAAACAAATATTTGAATCGAAACTTTGTCTGCAAACAGCCCTCTTCATAAGCTTTTGTAGTACCTATGGGTGCTTTTAATGTAGTCAGCTAAAGAGGTTGTTTGTCAGTCAGTATAAAAACTTACGTTCTATTGGACCTTCTCCTTTCATTCCTTTAAAGTTTAAGTAGGAAAATGGGTAAAAGCAACGTGAATTTCAGTCATTTTCTTAAAACAAATATTTGAATCGAAACTTTGTCTGCAAACAGCCCTCTTCATAAGCTTTTGTAGTACCTATGGGTGCTTTTAATGTAGTCAGCTAAAGAGGTTGTTTGTCAGTCAGCTTCATCTGCCCTCCTTTACAGTATTTTATCAGGCATCAGTAATCTCGTGATGGAGCATCGCATGTCAGAGGAGTCTGCTCAAGGCTGCTGGGAGTAAATGATGGGATTGATTCTGCTGACGTACTGAAGTACACAGCAGAAACATCAGGGGTTCTTGAAGGATGCTAGGGTTTTAGCCCTGTTATTTACTGTGATTCAAGAGCTGATACTGTGCCTGACGCATACAAGATGTGTCATGAGACATGCAGTAAAGTGCTATTTACTGTGCTGCTTTTGTTTGGTGGGTTGTGGTTTGGTTTTTTTGTTTTTTTTTTTTTTAAGTAAACCTTACCCTGAGCTGCCCCACAGGGATGCTCACTGTGCACCACTGTGGCTTGGGCATGGAGGTGGTTGCGTTGCTCCCGAGACATTCTGTGTTTGGGGGGGGGGCAGTGTCAAAGAGGAGGAGCATAGGTCTGCTCACTGGGTATAATCGTATTGATTGGAATCGTTCACTTTTTTTTGTGAAAATGGAGGGCTGCTGTAGAAACGAGATCACTTTTGTGATCCACTGTAGTACTTTCTGCCAACTTTCTCTGTCATTTGATGATCAATATACTGATGCCTCTACAATGCCTTAAATACAGTGTTGTGTGGTGCAGATGTTCAGACTACAGATTGTGAAGAGGATTCTCCTATTAGATGCCAGGTGCTTTTAATTCCCACTTGGTGATCTTGCATCTTGTTCAAATCCGGAGGAATTAATTCATGATTAAAATGGAATTGAGTTGCCTGAAGTGGCATATTTTGTGTTGTATCATAGCTAAATAGAGGGGAAGGCAATCTTCCAGAGAAGCCAAATAACAGAACATGCAAAGTTGAGTAGGTGCCTGACACTTTTCATGTTCTACAAAATAAGAAGAGGAAAAAAATAGAAGAATAAGTGACAATCATGAATTGCTGGGTGTCCACTAGGAGAGCTGTTTCATTGCTGGGCTACTCAGGCAGACACCTAGCCAGAGAAATTTTAGGGGCGTAATATTGTTATGGAAAAATATACTCCTCTGCTCCTCGCTGCTGTTTAGTAAGCAGGTAAGGTTAAGTGGTTCGTTTGAGGTTAGTCTGCAGAACTGTGACATGCTGGGATTGCATGGGTGACTGCTTCCAAACAGTCTGACTAATTTCAGTGTGGATAATAGCAAATTTGTAATGCCATGGCACAGGCTGAAATGAAAGCAAATTGGATTTTTTTTAATTCTGAAGAGATGTTTATTGAATTGCATTAGTGTACTTGGTACACATTAAATCAGTCTGTAATTGAACTCTTGCTCAATTGATAGTCCTGCCCCTAAACCCACTAAATCCAAGCTAATGCTCTGCTGCTTAGGTGCTTTTTCTCAATCAGTTGAACATAAAATCATAGAGGACTGTTAAGGTTTGAAAGTATATCTATGTATCTTTGTAATGCAAAGATCTGTTTCCTTCCCTGTGCATGTTTCATTGTAGTATTAAGAAAGCAAAGAGTAATTTACATTTCTCAATATCAAATTATAATATTTGCTAGATACAGAAAGAGAGGTTTGGCTTTGAAATACGCTTTCTTCTTCTGCACCCTAAATTGGAACAATAGATTGGAAGCAAATGAAAGGATCAATGAAACTAAACACACACCACCTTCTGCCACCCCCCAGTCTTATGCCACCCCTCCTTACTTGTCTCTGTGGACATCTCTACTGAGAGCAGTGTATTATTGTAGAGTAATTACTTGAAATCTTATACAAAAGATCATAACTTTATTAGTTTCAAATTATTACGGTATGTTTAGTGTCAGGAGATACCTTTTGTAGTACTGTGAAAATGCTCTTCTGTAGACAGCTATTTGCTGTATATGCTAATACTTTTCTGTCTCCTGACTCCATCACAAGGCTTCTATAAATGACAATACATTTATTCTTCTCTTTGTACTCCAGAATCATAACAGTCAAGCCAGAGAAACCTATCATTTCCATCTGTATACCTTACCATCCTTTGGTGCTCCCGTGGAAATAGCTCTTCTCTATTTCTTATCTCTCACTGTTGCACATATAGTAATTTAATCCAATTTTGTACAGGGCAGTTTTCAAAAAACCCAGAGATTCGATGTCTTGCTATATTGATCACATATGAATGGAATGCTGCTTGTCTGCAATTTTCTTTTAAGTAAAAGCTGTGAGGCAGTTACATTCTGAACTAAATGTAGGTTTTGCTTGTGTAAAGATTGTTTAAAATACTGTGGAAATTGGATAGAATCTTATCATTTAATGCCTGTATTAGTGATAGTGTCCTTCCAGGACACCTGTCATGTTGCCTAAAGTTGTGAATAACACTTTAGACTCTGCGGAGGTTTGTTTGCTTTTTTTTTTTTTCCCCTGATCCCTTTCGGATATTCTGGATGGCTAAATTAATTAATTAAATAAGTCCGTGGTGGGAATCTGTGGAGAGCTGATAGAGGGAATATTACATCATCTATTACTTATTTTTAATGAGAGAATTTTTCTGAATTTTTCCCTCTCCACTAAGTCCCTCAGAATTTTTTTGATACTTTTTTTTTAAGGCTCATTGCATTTTCTTAGGGTTTGTTCTGCTACTACTGGGGTAGGAGTACTCAGCAGAGATCCCCTACAGCCCTCCAAGGGTATGTTCTAGTTCTCTAGTTTTGTCTTAGTTGATTTTCAAAGTGGTCTGTTACTCAACACAGATGAAAACCAGTCTGTCTCTGAACTGGGTGGCTTTCTGCCACCCTTGTGATATTTGGGACAGCTCATCTTTTATCAGTCACTCTGCTCTTGAGGTTTTAGATGTGGGAAGCTGACACAAGAGGGAGGGGTGGTTTCTTTGTCAGAGTTGCTTACTGTTTTTTTCTCTAGGTCTTTTCTGGTATGATGGTTCTCACTGTAATTGCACCGTCTGTTTATTAACTCCGCAAGTACACAAAGGAAACTGCTCGAGTGATCTGGGTCTTCTCACGAGCAGACACTGGAATGTAAAGAAGCCAGAAAACAAAACATGTATATAGACACCAAACAAAGCCTGCCCACCTCTCAAGCTATAAGAGTTGAGATACTCAAGTGTCAAAAGTGTGCTAAATAATTAGACATTTAAATAAATCTAAATGTTTAAGCTTCTCCAGTGTTAAATGTATTGTTCTAATTCTAGATTCACAATTATAAGGCAGACTCATTAAGGAAAACCTCTACAAGTGTTTTGACTATCTCAGTTTTTATTAGCAGAGCTGTGTCCGGAATAGTTTCAGTTAATTATTAAACAGCAGCAAGTCCTATTAGGAGAAAGAGCTTTCTGGAGCTTAAAAGTAGTAAGCAATAAAAACATCTGTAGAGTCTACAGCTGAGCCTGATCTTGGGCTGGGGCTGGCCCTAGAAATGTCTCATCAGGCCCTCTGTAGGTTTCCTTGAATAAAATAGGCACAATGTAGGTATGAACGTATATAATACGGTGTTACACATGTACTCCAGAGTAGAGCTTGTTCCTGGGATGAAAATATAATTGTCTCCAATGTAATTGTTTGAGATGCTCACAAACTCTGAAATATTTCACTTCATAGAAACCATTTACTCTAAGGGAGGAAGTGGATATGAAAAAGATTCTTTGAAGTTTTTGTTTGTTGGTTCATTTATTTTTTAAAATTTATTTTCATGCTTGATGCACAAATGGTTCTATACCCAGAATATTCATACCACGTGCACCCATTAAAACTAACAGAATGTCTTTGGCATCATGGGGTGACATCACTACTCTTGCTATGGTGGCACTCAGGTCCCTATATTTCTCTCAGGAGATCGGGGATGTTGCTATAAAAGCAGATGCTGTACTGCAACTATCTTCTTTTGCCATCAGGGTGGCTGGAGGACAGAGTCCATTCCCTCCCTCGGAACCATTTAGGAGATAAGCTCACCTGTGGTGTATGCGTGTTTTGGTTTTTACTGTTAAAGTATTTTCTCTAGTATGCATTAATAAGTTCAGATAGGAATTTTCATGCCTTCCAGCTACTTATCAGGCTTATCCAGACTGCAGCAGTTGCTGGGTAGATTTGAATTCATCTGCCTGGGTAATGCGCATTAATCAAGGTTCTCGAAGTTATCACCTTGTGAACAGGAGAAAGTCTCTTCCTGGCGTTACCAACAGCATCAGTAAAGCCCTGATAATGAGGGCTCCCCTCAGGCTGCGTGCTATCTCTTTCTCTCTTTTTTTCCGGTTTACACAAATAGATTCAGTCTGCAGAGTTTACATGTACTGTACTGAGACAGGTTAAGTATCGATTTGATAAAGCGTGTAATGATGTTGCTCTTTTGAACACTACACCAGCACAGAATGGGTTGTGTGTGCGTGTGCACAAACCGTTTATGCAGGTTATGCTGCCTTTGAAATTACTGAACAGGGCAGAGTGGCTTTGTGATTGTAGGGTCTGATGGCAGCTCCAGAATTTTTTTAGCTTCAAAGCTAGGAGATGACACAAGTCTGTTAGTGGTGCTGAATGGAGGCCATTCAGCAAGCTTGTGTTAGA